GTGTGTGTGTGTGTGTGTGTGTGTGTGTGTGTGTGTGTGTGTGTGTAATGTGGACACACAGTTTTTTCCCCTTCCTTCTGACATGAAGTCAGGACCCCTCAGCCCTGTTTCTGTTTTTCACACCTGTACCTCCTGATCTCTTTATCCTCCCAGTTGATTCTCAAACCTTCCTCACGTCTTCCTCTCAGAAATCTCTTGATCACRTTTTTCCCTTCCTCCTCTGTTTCCTCTCATGTCGCTGGTCTCCAGGCTTCACCGACTCWGACGCAGATTAATCACAGCCGCAGACGAGGTGAAAAGGGTTTACAGAGTTGCTTGGGAAAAGTTTAAAAGAAAATGGTGYGTAATATTACTCCTCTGTGCTGTTTTTATCTCATCGGCTAAGAACCATCAAACACGTGGGGATATATAAAATAATGACAAACAAAYCGAGCGACGGAGCGAGACATGCTGTCAGTTAATTTAAACAAACACAGACAAATGTAGAAATGAATTCCTCTACAACAGAAGTTCATTTCTCTGAATCAGAGCGGTTTAATAAAGGAATTTTCCTTTAAATTAAAAAAATGGCACAAACATGATTAAGCTGAATTTAAATAGCTCATTTCAAATTTTGTTCGGGAAATAATTTTGCCTCATTAGTTTTCAGACACACTCATTTTTCAATGACTGAGTAAGTGAAGAAGTTCATTTGTTCACAAAATGTGCTCCAAAAAGTTTGTTCACAAAGTCTTGGTTTGTCGGCTGGGAGTTGTGTTTGGACTTTTTCACTGTTAAAGATTTGTGATCATGATTGATTCTTTTTGTTGAGTTTTTCTCTGTGGGAATTTTACTTTCAGTTCTTTTTACACAAGGTTCGAATTTACAAATCATCTCAGCTGCTTTCAGTTGAACAAAACAAAAGTGTAGGAGTTTCCTCTAAATGAAAAGATTTTTCAACAAAGAAGAACTTGTCCAGAGGACCTACTCAACATTGTTTTTCCTACCTGGGTTATTGAGATACATCAGGACAAAGTTATAGGAGCATTAAGAGCCACACCAACAGATTCAAAGACACTTTCTTCCCATGGACTCTGATAACTAGCTAAACACCCAAAATACAATAACTATTATTGATTTGTTACTGTTTTTTCAGGAGCAATGCTCCTTGTGTATAAGTGTTTATCCCTTGTTTAGGTATTAATTAAATATTTTACCAAATCCTACCTCATAAACTTTATATATGTCGCTGTTTTGTCCTATGTCTTTTAAAATACACAATTTTKCAAATGGGTATATGGTTTTATGAGTATTAGGTTTTTAGGTATTTTATAATTGTTTGATTAATGTGGCATGGGGGGTAGGTTGGGGTTTTATGGATGATGTGTTTTATTATGATTTGATTTGATTTGATTTGATTTATTTATTTAACAGGAAAA